TTTGTGACCTTCTCCCACACAACGTTAAGCAGATGCACAAGTGTTTTGACTAGATGGCAACCCCAAGTTTGTACATATTCGCAGGGATGCCATCTGTGCCTGCTGCCGTGCCCTGGGACATCTGTTCAGTAGCTCTAAGAGCATCTGCTGTAAATGCTGGTGCTGCTCCTTGAAAGAGGCTGTGGGGCTTCATTTGGCACTTGATCAGGGATGATGGAAGTTGTAAAGTCAGAATGGTAACTCTGCTTCATTTATGTTTGAAAGTGATGAAGGAGAAGGTTTCCAGAAGTGAATGCAAAACATAGTTTTGCTTTAGTTCTCAGAGCTCTTATCAGAGCATTTAATCAATATTGTGCTTACCAGATGGTGCCCTGTCTTCACTGTGGGATATTTTAGTGTCTCGTGATAGGTGTTAGCATCATAAAGATAAGAACAGGAAGTGCTGTATGCACTAAGGATATTCAGAAGGAATTATATCCCAGAGCTCTTCTTGGTGTTGTATCTTCTTTGCAGTCTGTGAGCCCTCCCTCCTTTCACCACTTCCACAACCCGACAGCAGTCAAATCTTTGACTGGAACGTGGTGGTGTTTGTCACAGGTTAAGATCACTGCTGTGGTAGATATGATGAATAGATGAATCTGTTTCTTTAAGGCAAATGGCAGATTAAGCCAACTCACCTTATAGAAATACTTTGCTTTTTCTGCTTCAGGTGTCTTACATACTCTTACTTAATGACTTCTCCAATTTTTTTGGTCATTACATCCACAGCAGCTGTTTTCAACTTACAGTATGTTTTTAGACACCTTTTTCTCCTGATCTGGAAGTGAAATGAGCTGTCAAATGTGCTATGGTTGTGACTAAAAGAAGAGTGGGGGGAAGCATTAACCATTACTGAGGCTTTACTGTCTCGTAACAATACTCATGTGTGAGGTACACAGGGGTTACAAAAGTTGTCAGAAAGAATTGTAAAGCATCTTGAGTTGATTGTGGAATAATATTGTCCTTCTGTAAAGCACATTGCATGATCTTAAAATATCCCAACTTTATTGACGTGCGTAAAATTAATCTGAATTTAGCAACATGTTTTTCTCTTACACATTGGGATTTGAATGAGAGACTGCAGGCAGACCTATACAGAGTATTTGAATTCTACAATTGTATAAAAGAAGCCAGCAGCAGCGTACGTGCCTAGCAAATATGGAAATTCTAGTAGTGGGAAAATTTCAGCCAAGGTCATATTGTATTGCTGTTCCATGAAGAGCGAGCTTTTTTAATACATGTGTTCTAAGAATTTAATCTGTCAAAATGCATGTTACTTTTCATCATGCCTGTTTAAAAAATATATAAAAAAACCCCGTGTCGAGAAATAACAAAATAAAACAAGAAACCATCACTCGGTGCTAACAAGTTGACAAGTAGATTACAGTCTCACATCTGTCTTTATTGGAACAGGTCTTGAGGAGGGTAGCAGGGGGCTAACTATAGTGGCAAGTTGACTCACAGGCTTCATGCAGATGTTATGCAGAAGCAGCACTGGTTGTAAAACTCAGAAATCTCCCTTGGGCTTTTGATAGGGATCTCATGGTGACATTGGAAGTTCGCGCTTGCCTACCGATGATGCACTTATTCTGGCGGTCCCAGATACTGCAGTCCTTTTGGGAACCCTGGCTCGTTCCATTTCTATGTTTTCTTCTTCCTCACAAAATCCTGGGAATTACCTACAAAGCACCTGTTAGAGATTAGTTCATTTTCTTGCCTCTTGTAGGGTAGCTTCTGTTAGTTTTTTCCTGTTGGTTTATAGTGGATAAAAACCTGTGTAATGGCATTTCAAGTCAAACATGAGACAGATATATAAAAAAAATCCATTTGTTTTCTCTGGCTTTACTAATTATTTTCTTACAGGTTGATGATTTCTTGCCTAAGCTTATGTTTTTCCACTCATTTGTCTTCCATTCCACAATTTGTAGATTAGAACTCGAACGCAGAGCACGTGTGTTTATTTCCAGGAGTGAATGGCCTTTATGTCATTGCTTTTGAATAGGCTTTCCTCCAGGGTCTGGTGGGAAGAGGAAAGAAAAGATGATGTTTACTATTGAGAAAGCTATTTGCACATGAATTATATTCTGGTAGAGAAAAGACAACTACATCTTATAAACTGTGAATATGGTAAAGTGTGTGTGTAGTCAAGATCTCAGTATGAATTTGTGCATCTTCAAAAAACAAAAACAAACAAACAAACAAAAAAACAACCCAAAAACCCACCAAACAATGCAAGAGTGTTGGTTTACATTGCTTTGCATTTTTAAAATACTTGATATAGATAATGTTGGGCTAATCCAACCGGTTTCCACTGTTGGGGTTTTTGTTCACTGATGTTTACTGATGTTTGTCTGAGCGTAACTGCTTCTGATTTGCGCTTGTTGAAGGGTGGTGAAAAATAGGTGCAGAATTTGTCTGCTGTCATCCTCCTTTTGTGTCATTGAAGAGGTAAAACATGGTGTTTTATACAGTCCTGTGGCACTTAGCAGTGTATTAGGTGTACATATATAAAAATGTTAGCATTGGCTAATAGATTAAATTTTAACTAGTCATTTTCTGTATTATATAAATTAATTGGGAGATGGACAACAAACTCACTGCCTAAGCAACAAGCTGTTCTTAGTCCTGAAGTAACTCTTGACACTAAAGCTTGTCAGATGAGAAACTACATTGTTTTGCAATTCCCTATGCTGTTCAAGTAATAGAGCATAGATGTGATTAAGTACAGTATCTGAGTGACCTTTCCAGGGCTGGACTGTTGCCTTTTTATTAACCAGCAAAACATGGTGTAGTAAGCAATTCGCTCTGTGGCTATAAGAGATTATGAAGAATGACTGCAGGAAGCGATGTGCTTCCTTCAACAGAGCTTGTCTTGCTCTCAGGCTCTTACGCTTCTGTGATCAACCATGTAAAAAAATATATGTATATATTTATACAAATACTTTGTGTGTGAGGGAAATACTAGAATGTTACATAGCTCTCCCACTTTTTTTTTTTTTAAGTTTTCTGCCTCACTGCTGTTCATGTGAACAAGAGAGAAAGAAAGTCTCTTTAATGACTTCTTTTTGTGCTTTGACAGCAGATGGCAATTATGAAACGTTTAACTTTGTAGTATGACTTCACTGACAGTACTTGTCCTAGTGCTTTCCTGGCTTGGAAACACCAGCAGCAGTACTTCTGTGTATTGACTGTGCTCTTGCTAAGCATCAAAATAAAACAATAAAAAAATCCTCTCCAGAGTTCTTACGAATGTGGTTTAGGTATTTTAATGAGTGGTGATAGTAGTTAATCAACATTATGCTCTTCTGTTTCTTTGCCCTCCTTGTGCCTTTATGTGCATGAAACAGGCCAGTTCTTTCACAACACCAATCTTTCTTATTTTTTCCACTCTGTACTGCATGTATTTTATTTGTACCTATGCCTGCCGTGTTTTCATTCAGTTTTGGTTTTGCCTTTGTCTGCTTGTGTTTTTAACTTTGCCACTTGAGTCTTTGATTCAGGTGATGACCTGATAATGCTCATACATTGCATGAAAAATGTAATGGCAAGACATTGGCAGGATGGAGGAGGGTTTGAGTTTCTCTTTTGGTCAAGGTTTGTTGTCTTGCTGTTCCCTTTCCCAGTCTGCTGCGATCTTTTGCCCATGTTCCCAGCTAGTTTCATCTCCTAAGTTCGTTCCTCCCAAAGAACTCTGTTTTTCAGTTACGTTCTAGAAAACCTCCACTTCACTGGTAAGAGCTGTTGTTGATGAAGTGCACACTCCTCATGTAACACTTGTGCACACCGGCTGCTAAGATCGGAGTACAGCCAAGCAGTGTAAAAGGTTTGTGCAAAAAAGAAAATTTGCACCTGGATATTTATTATTTTGTGTTGCATTTACTTTTTGGAAGTGAGTTTCATTTTTTTATATACATATATATATATATATATATTTTTTTACCCCAAACTAGCACCCATCTTTCAACTGGCATGTTAAATGGGTGTTGTCCAGTAGGAAAAAAACATGACACTGTGGAGGTAGATAGGAGTAGGGACTAGTTGGACAACCTAACATCTGTACTTAGCTGTAGAGGTATTTCTATGATAAAAAGAGGTCTGCATCTCCTCCTTCCTATGTCCAGGGCCTCATTTTAGAAGGAAAAAGAGAGCCTTGATTTGATATGCTGTAAATACTCTGTGTGATCTGAGGTCCAAGAGGAGGCTTCGCTATTTATACTGTTAATGTGCTACCACCTGTGAGGACTAAATTCACCCTAGAAGAACTGTCTCCCCCCCACCAGCATGAAGGCAGTTAATAGTCACACTTTGTTAACTCTCCTGTGACTCTTCTCTGGTGACACCTGTCTGAAGGTTTTGGTTGTATATGCCAGGTGTTTGAGATGCCTAATCCAGCCAGGAGGTTTTGTTCCCTTGTAAAGCTGAACAATTACAGCTGTAAAAATAAAAGTCAGAAAAGGAGTTAAGCAAAATTGCATGTAGGAGACTCCTAAAAGTAATCAGTTTTTTAAAAAGTGCATTTGCAAATAGTAAATACAAATTTAATGGTCGCCTGGCACTTTCTTACCTTAGTGGCTTTTTGTTTGTTCATTGGTAATGATATGTACCGTCTTTATTGTTGCATCTCCTTCAAATCGTGTGTTCATACAGAACATTTTGGTGAAAAGAATAAGGATCATTTTCTTGTAGTTGAACCTGTTCTATGGGTAAAAAGAGGACTTCAATTTTTAGGACTATCAAATGCTGTTTTGAACAAGAGCTGTTTTCATGTAAATGTTGTTGCTATTTTATTAATGCACTGAATGTATAGTCTTGTCTCTCTACCTTTTTTCAAAAATAAGCCAGTAGCTAATCCGTGCTGAGTAGCTGGTTGTTTAGAGGAGTCTATGAATTAAGAAGAAAGTGTCAGAAGCAATGAATAAACCAAAAAATGGAACTGATTCTTCTTCATCTTTTAAATACAGCTATTTTGAACTGGAGAGCAGTGGCCTACGGGATGAAATTAGATATCACTACAGGTTTAATGGGAAGTCAAGAACAGAGGTGTTCCCGTACCATCTGGCAGACGGACAGTGGCATAAGATTGCTGTGTCACTTAGTGCATCCCACCTTCTGCTGCATGTGGACTGCAACAGGTAAGAAAATATGTTCGCTAATTTATATTTCTTTAAAAAATGCTCTCTACTGACACCCAGGAGTAAAATTGGAAAAGGAATTATTAAAAAAAAAAAAAAAATCTAATTTAAAAAGCTTGGTAAACTGCCATGGGATAAGAAAAGGAAAACAAAGCATTAAAATGAAACAACTCGTTGTGATTATGAACAAATGTGGAAAAGGTTGATTGCTGACTGGGGAGTATTAAATGCATCTCTAGTTTAGGCACTAGCTGATGTTATGTTTGACTGTGACTGCATTTAAGTGTGTTAGATTGGTGTGCAGTCTGTTCTGTTGTGAATTGCTTCACTCGGCTTACCTGAAAACTTGACAAATAGATAGACGTGTCAGAGACGTTTTAATTTTATTTTACATAATCAAGCAATGCACTTTTTACTGATTTTTATTATTTTTTTTTTTTTTTTCCGCCTGCTGTCCCTCTTGGAAACTTCTGAGAAACCTGAGAGCTTCTTTTTGCATGTCTAGAACTGGTGCTTTTTGTTTTCTGAAGGGTATTCTGTCTGTCATCACAATTTTTATTGTCTAAAAATTGTAGAAGATGGCAGATTGTGAGGATTTCAAGGAATAAAAAGCAGCAAACCTAGAATCTCTCTTCCCTTGGACTTGATCTCACAATGTATTGAAGACTTCAGCTTTTGCTAACTTAGTGGTTGATGAGGAAACACAGAAAACTTGTAATTGGGACCTTCAAAATAGCCTTTAGGAATGAGAAAAATGAACCATTACTTTCCTGTCTTCTCGCCCCGGAATGACTATGAAAATATCTTTTGCCTTCAGTGAGAGGATCAGCATATGCATCTTGGAATTGTGGCACTTAAATGGGTAGGGTGATGGTAGCAGAAACTTTTTTTCCCCGAAGTCTTCATTTTGTTCAGGTGGGCAGAATAAAGTTATGTGAGTATTATAGGTTACTGGAACATTTGAAAAAGTTCAAATTTTGGCCAAAGTAATTATGAGGTACTGTTTGAGAAGAAGGTTGCAACCATTTTCTGCAACTGCATTAACTACTGACAGTAAAAATCTAATCTGAAGGAAGGTTGCTTATTGACTCCTTTTATTTGGACCCTAGAAGCAATTAAATGCTTAGAGGAATTTTAATTTCTTTGAGGCATGTAATCTACAATTTGTAAAGGTCATCTTCATTTCAGTCATTTGATTTATTTATCTTACCTTTATTTGTTTCTGTTATATTATTTCTTTGCTTACAACAGTATACTTTTTCATTTGTTTATTGACATACTGGGTTTTGGGACAGGTTCTTCATTATCTCCTGTGTTTGTTTTGTTTTGTGGTTTTTTTTTTTTTTTTTTTTTTCTTTTTTCAAATGAACAGCAAACATGGTTTAGGAAGACCCTTTTTAGCAGACTGTTTTGCTGGCTGCCTTCTTGCATACAACGTGAAAGGAAGACGACACAAAAAGCCTGCCTACTGCAGCAGTCTATCCAGGGACAAGATTGCTGCACAGAGTCACGGTTGTGACCTGATTTTCTTTACAGCAATAGGCAGCAATAGATAAATACAACTACAGAATGAGCTGTGCTGTCTTATGAGGTGTGAAATGTGTATAACCATCTCTGACAGGTACGCCTAAACAGGGCTGATCTGTCTAAGGGTTTCCCTTAAGGTGGTACGTCTCAGGGCTGCTCCCAGCATAAATCCGTACCTAAATGTCTCTGTTTGGCTGTGTATTTGTGGTAGTTCATGACTAGTCCTGTGGAAAAGTAATGGGAGTAGTTTTGAAAGCATAACTTGAGGGCAGATCATAGTAGAAGTTTAAATGGGGGGAAAAAAAGCAAGGGGGAGAAGGTGGGGAGTCTTCAAGTTCCTGACTCAGCTGTAGTGTATCTGTTCAGTTAATTAGAGAATTTTGCAAATGTTGGTATTATAGTTTTCTGTATTTTATCTTAACCCCCTGCATTTTTGCACTCAGAAGAGAAGTCAACATCTTCTTCATCTTTGCACTAGCATTTCCCGATGACACTACAGTAAATGTCAAAAGGTGTGAAAATGAAGAGCAAGCCAATGAGGGGTGCTTCTGAGCACTACTGAAAATCCCAAGCCTTCTTCATGTTAGTGTTAGGAAAGCTGCAGCTGAAAGTATGCACAGAATCCAGCGTTAAGAGCTGTAGACTTTACATGTAAAAGTCACCATTTTAGGCTAGTGTGGTGTCACTGGCTCTCAGCAGAGTTCAGCCTGCCTAATGGGAAGTCATGCTTCTGCATGGAAAGAGAATATGACTGCAGTCAATATATTCACCTGTCCCACCTCCTGCAGAGGTTTGGTGTCATCAGAACAAGAACTTAGCTTGAAGTGTACCTATCTAATTAAAGAAGTTCTTTACTTGCTACGTACTGCTCTTTACCCTGTAAAAAATAAAAACAAATCAAAACCAAAAAAAACCTGACCAACAAAATGAATCCCATGGCTTCCTACTGGATTTCTTTAAGAGGGTTGTAACATTGCTTCCTTAGAGACACATGAATTTGTATAAATGCATTACTACTTTTGTTTAGGGCTGTGGTAATATGTTATACATTTGGAAGTCTACTCCGAGTGATTTGCGAATGCAGTGGTGTTAAAGTTAACTTTTATCTGAGAGTGCATTGAAAGTGTTGCATTGGGAAAAATATCCAGCCGCAACCTAATTTTGTTACATGTTTTGTATGACTACCCAAAGCTAGTTTCTGGCCTCCAAAAACTGCAGTGGATCAGGAAGCATTGGAGAGGAAACTTGTAATTTGTAAACAGATAGTCAAATCTACTTTTATTCTTCCCAGCCTTATCACCCACATTACTCTGATGTGTAAAATTGCTTTGACATTTGGTATTTGATTGTCTTTTGGATTGAATTCAAAGTTGACTTTGTTTTTCAGCCCTGGATAGGCTAGGGAAAAGTACTTGAGAACTGGTAAAAGCCTTTAGTGCTTTTAAGAGTCATCTTTAAAACAGTATAATTGCTTCTGTTCTAATGAGGTGTAATATGGTGGGGGAGGCATGCGCCTCAAAGAAGGTATATTTGCCCAAGTACATGTCCTTTTGAAATCAGCTCCTGATGCATCTTTCGTGCTCGTTTTGGTGCTCCTTCAAGGACAAGGAGTAAGGATTGTAGCTGAGTTTGATGCTGGAGCTTGAAGCTGCTGACACAGGAAGATAGATTAGAGTCCAGACTGAAAAGCTGGATGTCACTGGACTTCTCTTGCTGACTCGGAGAGCCTTTGTGTTGGGTGTAGGCAGTACACTCTAGCCAGAGATACACCTCCAACAATGGGCATAATAAGCAGCAGGTGTACTTGCTAACATGCCTTTAACATTCTAGTAAGGTTCCAAAAGCTTAGAAAAATGAAAAGACATTAATTATGAATGTATGGCTGATGCACAAGTAAAAGCTGTGCTGAAAGTAACGTGGAAATTAAGTACGCTGCTGTTAATTTCCTTGCATCTCCAATGCTGTGTCCACTAGTGGTGAACATCTCCTGTTTCAAAATATTGGTTACATGTAGGATCTATGCTTCCCTACTTCAGGGAAAAGGGGGTTGTCAGGGGCTTTCTGGTGAGTGCTTAGGTTAAGCTAGAGTAACTGTGTCATTGTCAGAGGGTCCTTAAATAACTTATGGCACTAAAGGGTTAATATATAACGAAATAAATTCTGCCATGCACCTTCCAGATTTGGCCTCTTAGGGGAGGCGAGGTCAAGGATCCTGCTGTTCATACCTGCATTGTCAGGAGATTTGCGGCCCCGGGAGACTGTCATGCTCCTACAAGAGCTGGTGTTTGTCTTCACTTTACTGGGAATTAGTTTCAACTGTGGAGTCTGTAATGTTGCCTGTGGTATCTCGCTGTCCACTGCAATGCTTGCCCCCCACAACGGTAACAACACAGAAAAATGTTGTATTTAGTGGTGTTAAGAGTGAGGGAATAGTGCGGAGCCTACAGTTTAAGAACTGGTAGGTACTATATCAAAATGTATTTATTGACAATTTATTTAAGAAATATAAATACCATATTTTTCTCAGTGTGTCTAATTAATCTGCGGAGGTAAGCTTGAAGTGTGCTTGCTTTATGTTTTCATTGTTTTATTTCTCATCAACCATATTGCTACAAAGGTATGTACCTGTTCAGACAGTATCAGTATTCCTTTACTTCAACTCTGTCTGCAGGTGTAAAAGGGGGAAAGGCACTTTGCTGTAAGAATTCATGCTTTCCAGTGAAAATATGTGCTGGAATGCCTTTTACTATGAATGCAGCCTGTGGTTTTGGTGGATTCTTTTAGCTGTTTGATGGAGGGGGTTGGTAAGAGCATAAGAGAATAGATTATAAAACTGGAGCAGGCTAGGAACTAGTCTCCAACTGCAAAAACATGTTGTCTGCTTCTTTTATGTTTCTCCTGCTAGAACAGAGCATTAGGGAATAAAAAATGCATGAGCAGTGAGAACTTTTTAATTGGAAAAATAAATAAATTAAAGCAACATAATCCAAATATGGGAATCCAAGACCTCAGAATTCTTATAAATGAGATATTCTGGCTCTCAACCTGAGGTTTTCAACTTGTATAAACAAAGTCCTATGACTTCAATTAAAATGTAATAAATTTAAAGAAGGTTAAGGGATGTATTTAAAGGAGGGATTCACTGCTTTACTTACTGTAAAACACTTTCTCTCTCAAGAGAAGATGGCATGGTGGCGATGTTACGCAGCTAGGTAATTTACTCTCAACATCTGAATATGTTTGTGTGACCCAGATTGCTTCTCTGCTCTTTAAGCTGCAGCAGAAGCTGTCAGAGAAATGGTTACTTGAGTAGACTGCTATAATTGTGCATTACAGGTGCACCCAGCTTCAGATCTGTGGTATTGTGATTTGGAAGTTAATTTTCACCTACGGATTGTCCCTTTTGTTTGACAGAAAGGTGGTGTGGTTTAACCTGGCAGGCAGCTAAACACCACACAGCTGTTTGCTCACTC